AAAAGGAAATAAAATATTCAACCATATGGAGGTATTGTCATAGAAGGATTGATTCTGAAAACTAGGCCTTGAAATGATAAACTTGGCATGTAAGTGAAGAGATTTTCACTCAAGATGGCAGACTGACCATATGTCCTCTCCTTTTTTGAAGACACCATTAAAATTATAAAAATAGGGATAAATCCATAACACTTACAAAAATCAAAGAGATTTCTTCAGTAGATGAGAGATTCAACTCATTTCCTGAACTCAGCAAATGAACGAAAAATAATTGATAAAGTAAAGTGGGGAAGACACAGACTAGAACAGAATTCTTACCCTCAGCACTACCGACATTTTGGGCCAGACAATTCTTTGTTGCAGGGAGCTGTTCTGTGACTTGTAGAGTGTTGAGCAGCATTCCAGGCCTTTAGAAACTAGATGCCCTAGAATTCCTCCTCCCAGTGTGACAACCAAAAAAATGTCACAGGAATTGCCAAATATCCTTTGGGGGACAAAATTGCCCCCAGGTAAGCACCACTGGACCAGACTATGGGTCAAGGGAGCTTAGCCAAGAAGAGAGTCCATCTGCTCTAAAATCTCCAGGAGAGACTCAGCACTTGTAAATACCAAATCCAAAAAAAGAGGAGGAGATAAAAAGAGAGAGATTACAAAAGCTAGTCACATTGCTATATGTCAGTAAAAACCAGTTAAAAAAATGTACTTAAAAAGATATCAATTCACAATGCCAAAAATCTAGCACCTAGGATTAAAGCTAACTAAAGATAAAAAAGATTTTTAAGAAAACATTTTAAAGCATTGTTGAAACACAGTAAACAAGTTTAAATTTATTTCCCTAGATCTCTGAATTTAAAGAAACTTAAGTCAAAATCCCAATATGAAGGTGCGTGTGTGTGTGTGTACATATGTGTTACTTGATATGGAAAAGGAACAGGTCAAGAATAACCCAGATATACCTGAAGAAGATGATGATAATTCCAGGTGTATGGACTGAATAGTGGCCCCTCAAAAAGATATGTCTAACCACATGTGAATATGCCCTTATTTGGCAAAGGGTCTTTGCAGATGTAATTAAGTTAAGGATGTCAGGATGAGACTATCGTGGATTATCCAGGAACACACTGAACCCAATGATAAGTGCCTTTATCAGAGTAGAGAAATATAGAGACCCAAAGGATAAAGTGAGTGAAGATGGAGACAGAGATTAGAATTATGTAGCCACATGTCAAGGAATGCCTGAAGCCACCAGAAGCTGGATGAGGCAAAAGATTCTTCCCTAGAGACTTCTGAGGCTGTTGATACCTTGATCTCAGATTTCTGGCCTGCATAACTGGGATAGAACAAATTTTTGTTGTTTTAAGTCACTAGTTTTTGGTAATTTGCTACAGTAGCTCTAGGAAACTAATACAACAGGTATCAACACTTATTGTCAGACTGCAGAGGTTAACGCATTATAGTATTGACACAATGAAAAAGAAGGTGATCAGTGGAGCAGATTAGAGAGCCCAGCAACATCCCAACTCATAAATGGAGACTTGATTTGTGGCAGAGATGCCATGACAGATCAGCCAGGAAAGGACTAACTATTCATTAGTGCTGCTAAAATAACTGCTTATGCATATAGGGGGAAAAATGAAATTAAATCCCTAAGTCAAACACATATGTAAATATCAATTCCATATAGAATAGATGTTTAAATGAGAGAGAAAAAACAAAATATTTTTTTAAGACAATGACATCAAGATCAGGAAGGATTTCTTATACAAACCCAAAGGGTACTAATAATAAAAGAAAGAAATGATGCATTTAACTATATTAAAATTCAGAAACTCTGTTCATTAAAATATATTATAAAGAGAACGAAAAGGCCAGCCACAAAATGGAAAAAGATATTTTCAATACATAAAATGGACAGGAAATTCATTTCCAAAAAACTATGTTTCTAAGAATAAATTATAAAAAGACAAAAATACAATAAGAAATGGGCAAAAAATCATGCGTAGGCATTTATAGAGGACAAAATAGAAATGGTTGACAACAATTGATGAACCTTATTAATAATTAGAGAAATGCAAATTAAATCCATAACTTACTATTATACACACATACCAGCTTGGCAAAAATCAATTTATAGAAAATCTTGATGAGGAGGTAGGGTAACATGAACTCTCACTCCCTTCTGGTAGAGGTGCAAATGTCTACAAACCCTTGAAAAAGCACTTGTTGAAATCTGCTAAAGTTGAGTCTGAGCATAGCAAACCCTGTATTCAGCTTATGACATAGAGAGGCTCTTACACATGCAGTAGGAGCCATGTAAGGATATTCATTAGCTACATTGTTCATAACTATAAAAAGTGAAAACAGCCCAAATGTTTGTCAACTATAAAATGAATTAATAAATAGTGGTATATTCTTCCTAGGGCATTCTACAAGAAGTGAAAATAAATGAGCTATAGTTACATGCATCAACATGTAAAAATCTCAAAAACATAATGTTGAGTGAAAGAATGAAGTCACAGAAGGATATAATATGATTCCATTTACATAAAGTTCAAAAGAGAAAAAATTGCACAGTATACTATTTGGGCCTAGGTGCATAAGTGATAAAACTATAGAATGATTAAATCCAAATTCAAAATAGTTTTTACTCTGAGGAAGAGAGAGAGAAGAAGATTTAGAGGTTTCTGAGGTACTAGTGAAATTCTATTTCCGAAATTGGGTGGTGGGGTCTTGGGTATTTATTTTATAATTGTTCTTTAAGATGTTTTATATGCTTTTAAAAATATGAGAATATCCCAATAAAAGTGAATGAAAGAAAAAAATACAAAATACCAAGATAAATCATTATGAAATTCCAGAAAACTAAAAAAGTAGAGTACAAAATCTTCTAGAGAAAGAATGGATCACCTAAAAAGAAACACAATCACTCCTGAGCAACATGTGGTAGAGTTATAAAAATGAAGCAAGGCCTTGGATGGTCTGAGGGGAAATGATTTTCAATTTAAAGTTTTACATTCAAATGATCGATTGAATGGAATATAGAATAAAGGATTTTTTCAGCATGAAATAATTCAGAAATTTTACCTCCCATGCACTTTTTATTAGTGAAGGTGCTTGAAGACTTAACCCACCATATCAAGGAAAACACGGGATGCAAGAAGCAATGGCTCTCTCACTTTAGAGCAGTCCTGTTCTGACCCAGGTTTACCTCTGTGAGGTGGACCTACAAAGCAACCAATTCAAATTGAAGCAGGAAGCATAAAGTTTTTAGAAAAAAGAATTAAGGAAGTAAAGAAATAGTGAGACCTTGGAAATATCTGAAGACACTGTAAAATGGTAGAGGACTTAGGAAAAAAAAGAGCCAATCTATGCAAATTTGTTTCTGGGAGCATTCTTCCTTGAATGACATAAGTGTGGCAACAAACAATAAGTGTTGGTGAGGATGTGGAAAAAAGGGAACACTTGTACACTGCTGGAAGGAATGTGAATTGGTATAACCACTAAGGAAAACAGAATGGAGATTTTTAAAAAAATTAAAAATAGAACTACCATATGATCCAGCAAGTCTACTTCTGAGTATTTATCTGAAGGAAATGAAAACACTAACTCAAAAAGATATATCCACTCCATGCTCACTGCAGCATTATTTGCAGTAGCCAAGACATGGAAGCAATCTAAGTGTTAATGGATGGATAAATGGATAAAGAAAAGGTGGTATATACATACAATGGAATATTATTCAGCCATAAGAAAGAATGAAATTTTGCCATTTGTGACAACATGCATGACAAAATTTCATTATTAACAATATATAAAAGTATTTGCATTTTATATATATATCTTTTTTTTTCTTTTAGGAAGGTTAGCCCTGAGCTAACGTCTGCTGCCAATCCTCCTCTTTTGCTGAGGAAGACTGGCCCTGAGATAACATCCGTGCCCATCTTCCTCTACTTTTTATGTGGGACGCCTGCCACAGCGTGGCTTGCCAGGCGGTGCCATGTGCGCACCCAGATCCGAACCAGCAAACCCAGGGCCGCTGAAGTGGAACGTGCGCACTTAGCTGCTGCGCCACCAGGCCAACCCCATATATATGTCTTTATATAGGTTGATCCTAAAGATAAATAACCAAATAAAATGTGAATACTTTCCTATGTTGTTAGCAATTCAGAGAAAGGAGAGTACAATGAGTGAAGGATGGGAGTGCTAAAGTCCTCATCTTTTAATTAAGAGAAAGTGTCTATAGCTAATTATAAAGAATCACACTAATTCAGTCCCTTTTCTATAGGCCCTTACTTCTTTGTTCCAGAGTAACTTTCATAAGCTTAAAGGAATACACTCTAGGCTAATAAATTGTGTTTTGCTAAATAAATCTATGGTCTCCATAGACATGATTTTCATAGGACAAAAAATGGAAGAATATTTTATTTAACTTTCTACTATAATAGGTAACGATTTAGCTTGCCTAATACACTTAAAAAAATTAGAAATACCCCAATAAATGCCTAAGTTTTCAAGAGAAACCAAAATATTTCAGGGGCATAACTAAATTTGACATTGATATCAAGAATTAGACACATACCCTTATATTTTTATTATATGTGACCCTTTAATTGCTTTTAAAAGCACAATAAACAAAATTATGGGATGAACATACCATTCTTATATTCTTATGTTAAACAAGTTTAAGGATAGTGAGCCAAGAAAAAAAATCAAGATTTAAAAATAGAAAGAATACCTGTTTCAACAAACAGTTTCCTCCGGTGATAATTTAATTGTTTGCCTACTCTAACCTACATACAATTTATGGTACATGATATTATTCTAAATATTTTACATATACTAAGTAATTTAATCCTCACAACTGTGTGACCTAGATACTATATTATCCTCATTTTATAGAAGAAAAAAATGAGCCATGGAGTGGCTAAGTTTCTATAATAACCACATTCAAAGGGAGGCAGAAAACATTAATAAACTTGTAAAATTTCTGTGGGGCTTACCATTCTCTCAATCTGATGACTTCTTTCTATAAACTCTCTTGAGTTTCTCATTCCATAATTTTCTTTATATTTTATATTTGTGACTTTAAAAGAGGCAAGGTAATAGAATGACTTATCATCTGAAAGGTAAAAATAAACAAAAAACTCATCCTTAAACATAATCAATTCCTTATCCCCCACCCCCAGGAAACAGGCTTGCTGCTTACTACAAAAATTATTGTGTATATTTTCAAACATTTTGTAATTTCATCATTGTACCCAGCTAAAATAGAAAATTCAGGCCTCAAAGTATGCTTTCAGAACACCCTGTTTACAGTGTTTATGCATATCAAAATTTTCACACAGTTGGACAAGCAGTATACTATGGAAAGTAAATATTGAAAGCATTTGCTGACAGTTAGGTAAAAATTACCAATTTCCTCAAATTGTAATATAGGTATATCACAGCTAAGCTGTATTATGTAGATACATTGAGCAGGCTATCAATTTTATCTCTGCTACTAATAAGCTTATATAAATAGAAGCCTACATTTATCATTTTCACATGCATATATTGATTTGAATCAGGCAGTACCAAAACAAAAGTGGTTAAGAGCACTCCACTGACAGGAGATACAGGAGACATTTTTATAGAGAAGAGGTGGAAGCAAAGCAAGGAAATTATTTGATTGGCTATAGCTTAAGTGGTTGCCTTCTTTGGGAAAGCCTAGTTGACTGTTTGTGATTGGTTGTTCTTGTTTCATTTTCTTGGCTTTGAGTGCATTGACTCTGGCTTGGGTTTTGCTTACATATGCTACCAAGGTATGAGAGCCACCCCAGTCCAATGACATCCATGTTTAATTATTTTAACAATTGATGACTCCTAAATTTTTATCTCTAGACCAGATCTTTATTTTGAGTTTCAATTCTTTATCAACTTACTTCAGGGGACGATTTGTTGTACATCCAAAAGGCACGTTAAATATAATATTTCCAAAAGGAAATAATCTCTTACTATACTCAAACTTGCTTTACTTCCTCTGTTTTCTGTCTTCATGAACAGCTTCATCATCCACATAGGCGCCCAAAGTTTGGTTTCATCCTCATTTCCAACATCCAGTCTTTCAGTCTTTAAATTCTATGGATGCAACCCATTATATCTCTCTAATCCTTTATCCTATCCAGAAAAGCTACCGCCTTAATTCAGGTCTTCATCAACCACCTAGCTAATGTCTATCCAAAACAAATGGACTTTTCTATTAAAAAAGAAGTCCTCCATCTAAATTCTGTAGCTTAAATGTTGTCATTACCATCTACTTCATCATCCAGACTAGAAATCTTGGGGTAATCTTTGATCTTTCCCAAATTAATCAATAGCTTCTGACAATGTTATCACTTAATTTTCTTTTTTTTTTTGAGGCAGAGTAGCCATGAATTACCTACTGCCAGTCCTTCTCTTTTTTGCTGAAGAAGACTGGCCCTGAGCTAACATCCGTGCCCATCTTCCTGCACTTTATATGTGGGACACGTACCACAGCATGGCGTGCCAAACGGTGCCATGTCCACACCCGGGATTCGAACCGGCAAACCCCGGGCCGCCGAGAAGCAGAATGTGCGAACTTAACCACTGCACCACGGGGCTGGCCCCATCACCTAAATTTTTAAAATCTAGTCTCTGTTCACAAATTCTACTGCCATCAGTGCTGTAGTTCATTCTCTCATCATTTATTATCCGGAAAATGTAACAGCTTTCTAACTAGTACCCTGCTTCATGTTCTATTTTTCCTAAATCTATTCCCCACATAGTAGCAGAATGATCATTTTAAACAGCAAATATGACAATATAACTTCTCCAATTAAAACACTTCCATTTTTCTCCTTTCGCAATGGGAAGGAGTCTCAAATCTTTACTCTGATCTACAAAGGTTTTCCTTGACCTAGATCCTGCCTACCACTTAAGCATATTCTTTGCCACATTCACTTCAAGATTTATTTTAAAACTATAGCAAACTGTTTGGATTTGTCTGCATTCACCATGCTGTTTTCTTTTGCTAAGATTTTGCGTATGTCATTCCTTTCTCCTGAAATGCTCTTTCCCAGGAATGCCCTTTCCACAGATATCTCCATTGCCTAAATTCTATCCATGGCATCACCTCCTATCATAGAAAGTCTCTGGAACATTCAGCCTTAGATAGGGACTTCACAACTGTGCTGCTATACTATCCCGTGAGGAACTTTGCACTTGCCACAGTATCATAATAATTGATAGATTTTAGTCCACTGGAATGTCAACTCTTTAAGGAAAGTCTTGTGCAATTTTTGCATTTGGAGAGGAGGCACCATTTCAAGTAATATGAGTAAAAACAATGGTACCTTAAGCTTTTGACAAAGCAACGAATTAATTAATAATTAATTATTTCAATATTCAACATTTACTAATTCACAGACTCTGTGCTAATCATCCTAATTTTTAATTTAATTAAATTATTATTTTAAACATTTTTCAGATTATAAGTGCTCTGTCAGAAACTCTGGAATGAACAGAAAAGTATATATAAAAGAATAAAAATGACCTATAACACTAATATCTAGAAGTAACTGATATTATTTTTGCTTTTGTTTCTCCTTCTAAAAATATTGCTTTAATTGACTGAAGTTTGATGAAGTAGAAAAGTAACTTGCCACAGATCGCTCAGCTAATATATGGTGGGCCTGAGATTAAAATGTTCATTTGACTCTAAATCTCATGAGAGAATATATTCTCTACATTCCTGAGAGTGGAACCAGTCCTGAAGAATGGGAAGACAAAAGATGCTATCCCAATTCAGACTTTACTTTTAGGTTCCAAGAAGTCAAACTTTAAAAACAGCTTTATAAAGTGAGTTTCTGGATTTTGTCTTCAAAATATTTCATGCAACTCTTTATAAAACAGATTTGTTTTTACTCTATAACAAAAAATATAAGTAGTCCTAAACAGTCTTGAAATAATTAATCTGGATCATAAAAATGTTTGTTGAAAAATATAACTTACTATATGATTCTAGGTAACCAAAAAAACAAAAGCCAGACAAGCTGCAAACTTAGTGTTTGAATTTTCCTAGTTAATGTCATATTTCCTGTGAATGGTGGTGATTTTATTCATTAATATTAAAAGACCCTCACACAATTACGAAGGTATCATTAGTAAATATATATGTGTGTATATATGTCTTCTATGATATTTTTCATTGCCGGAAGATATTTGCAACACATACAGCTGACAATGGATGTACATTCAGAATATAGAAAAAACTACCGAAATTAATAAGAAAAGACAGACGACTCAATAAAAAATGGGAAAAGATTTGAACAGGCCCTTCATAAAAACAGGAAATCTAAATGATCAGTTAACACAGGGGTAGGTGCCCAACATCATTAATAATCAGGCAAATACAAATTAAAATTACAATGATAACATTATAAGCTATACCAAATTAGCAAATATATAAAGATATAGCAATAATAAATGTCGGTAAGTATATGGGACAATGGGAACTCCCATACAGCAATCAACAGCTTGGTATTATCCATAAAGTTAAAAAAGCACATGCCCAGTAACCTAGCAATTCTTCATCTACGTATGTCCCCTAGACAAACTCTTGCACGTGTGCCAAGATATACATATAAGAAGGGTCATAGCAATATTATTTTAATGTCTAAAATCTGGAACCACCCAAATGTCCATGTACATTTGAGTAGATTAATAAATTATGGCATTTTAAGACAACAGGATATTAGTAAATGTTGAAAATAAACAGACTAAAGCTACCTACAGCAAGGTGGATGACTCCTGCCACAATATTATGAAGAAACAAGTCTCAAAACATATGTATAATATTTTTATATTTATTTAATGTTAAAATAGGATTTCACTTTTAAATATTTTATTCCCTTTGATTAAACAAAAAAGGAGGATCCAAATGGAAATCCTGAGGACAAATAAGAATCCAACAGTTCATTAGTCTTTTTATCATGATGGGTAACAAAATATTGAGACATTAATTCTGTCAGGCACTGAATATTTAATAAATAACACAGAAATTACTTTTTGAAGTGATAGCCCAAAATTTACTGAGTTGTAAATATAAAACCTGAAGAAGAGAAAGAGCAGCCCCAGATATCCAGACATTGGCCTGGTCCTGTCACCTAGGCCTTGGTATTCTCCTCTTGAACAGAAACAACTTCACAGAACATCAACATAGACATGACTATACAGATGATGACAAAAGAAGACCATTCCATAGATATACCTGAACTCAGACAAAAACACTGTTCAAATAAACAAACTAACAAAAGAGACAGAATGTCTCCCTATTCTAGCTATTAGGACTGTTGCTCCTCTAACAATTATAGCTCTAGCCTCCCCTCACTGCTTTTGCCTCTCTTCCTGGGAGGTCTTTCAAGTATGGTTTTATTGTTGTGATTCATGATTCTGTAAAATTTTAGGCAAAGTCTCAGTCACATGTGATTTATAAATACACATACCAAACACAAAGGTCAAGGAATCTCGGTTGACTGTCATTTGGTTTAACTGTGGTACTGACTATCCAGTTTTGCACATAACGTGGAATTAATTCTGAGTTATCTCTTCTCCCTCCAGTCATGAAACAATCTCTTTTCCTTTCAAAAATAATGTTTGATCTTTAGCCCTTCAAAATGTTCCTTAAGGTAACTTTTCTCATATCATCGGTTTTTCTTGGGCAACTTATTAATATATTGATTTTGAAAAAAAGTATGTTAAACTCAGCACATTATATGGTTTGTCTTTATTCTGAAGGTAATCTTTCAGCCTTTCTTTCTCTTTTTAAAATGTGTTTCTTTTAGATATGTCTATTCATGTAATAATGTATATTGCAAGCTTCATTGGCTGGAAATATGTAACACAGAGCTCAATAATGAAGCAAACTATAATTTAACATCAATAAAAGATCAGTAATTAAAATTTTAATATCATGCAAATAGCATTTTTTATACAACAGAAAATTTCAAGATAGTACGTCATGGAGTACTTAGGCAATAGAAATGTGACCTGGATACTTACCCTCAACAACAAAATGAGTAACAATGCCAATTGCAATTCCTATGATTGCTACAATTGCCAATGTGAAAAGAGCTAGTCGTATAGGGTCCCAAAATTGCTGTCTTCTTTGATACTCAACTCGTGGGTAATCATCTTCTGAAAATTCAACTGGTCTGTGATAAGAAAGAAAAAAACAGTAAGACAGTAACAAATTCATTATAGTTCTACTTCATGTCTACTTGCTATACTCCTCGAAAGTAGTTTTTACTGCTAAATATCAATAGGATACGTAGATCTTGAAAAGAACGAAAGGTTTTAATTTGTACACCCTCCGCCAACATGCCAATCACAGTATGAGTTTTAGTTAAAGCTCTACTGATGCTGACATTCAAGTGAGAATATCTTCTCACTGGATTTTGTTTGATGTATTGGCAATTTGAAATTTGGGTGGCAAAATACAAAGATTCAATTAAAAGGTAATTTATAAATAACATTTCCATATTTTAAGAAGGGAGTTTTTCGCAGCAAAGTTATATAATAATCTCATCATTTTTACTTGATTAAAAATAAAAGAATTTATTCCAAGTACTTTTTTAATGACCTTAAACAATTTCTTAATGCCTTGTTTTAAAAGTAGGAACATTACTTTTGAAGACCTGATCATGATTCTTCACATTTTTTATTAGTACCTCCCAGTGAAATCACAAATTATGAATTGTACTTGACGAGTCTCCAATCCCTACTAGAGCTCTTCCTCTCCACTTGATTCTTAACCTATTCCAACTCATGCACTACCTCCCCACTCGAAATATCTTATGCCGTTTTAATCACCTTTCTCCAACTTGAAAGTTGACATTTATATACTTTATTTTCTGAATCCTCAAATAGGATTCAATATTTAATATCTTGGGAGATACTTTTATGTGTTTTCGTATTTATAATTTTATCTATCAAATATTACAAGCTTTATTCATTAAGTGACATAATAGAAAGTCCTTAGAATAGTATCTACTACATTATAATAATATTTCAGAAACTGTTCTACAGCCCACATATATAGTGTGAACTGTGCCAAAACAAAACTTTGTACAAGAGAAAACAATTAGCTTTTTGGAGTGCTATGAGTGTCAGAAGATTTTATCAAGAAAGTGACATGACTAAAACTTTGAGTAATAAAAGTTCTCCAGGTATAAAGAAAGGTGGAAAGAACAGAGAGAAAAAAAGGCTAGTGATGTGAACTAGCATTCATTACTAATAGTTAGTACTGGGAGTAAAAATATACACATAAAATACAGCTTTTGCCTCAAAGAATTTACGGTCTCCAAGGTATGTTCACAATTGCAAGTTTTCACAGCACTGCTATCCTAGAAGGAGGATATGGTAAGGCTGGTGGGTGGACGACCTCATGAGGTATCTCATAACCCAAAGTAAAGAGCTTGAAATTGCCTCTGCAGGAGATGGGGAGCCAAAATAAGTTTTAATCAGATTGAGAATTTAGAATAATCTCAGAGGTATAAATGAGGATGAGGATCAGAGCAAGGGTGCAGACAGCAAGACCAGTTTAGAGGTCATTTTTAAGTTGCAAGAGAGAAACGATGAGGGCCTGAACTAAGGCAGAGGCAGTAGACCGAGAGGAGATGGATTTAGCTCCAATTCTCGAGTTTTGTTGATTGATTGCTAAGCTGTGGGACAAGGAAAAGATTAATGGCTCTTTTGTTTCAATGTCCAAGTAAATGATTGTACCTCTAAGCAGGATGAAGATGATTAAATGAAGAGAAAGTGTTTCCAATGTAGACATGAATGTTGTTAATAATGAACAATGTGCTGCCCTTACACTTGGATCTGAGCCAAATGGAAAGCATCCATTCTATGCCCTTTCTTTTGATTTATTTTATTTTAGTTGTGTCACTAACACCTGTTTGCACGACTCTAATAAAGCTAACTGTTAAGGTTGGTACCACACAACCCAGAAAAAACAAAAAGTTAATAACGCCCCTGTGTACAATGTCTTCCTCCTCATCCATAATTGAAGTATCCATTTCCAAAACATGCAGCATTAAGTATTCTTGATTATTTAGTTTGTGGATATTATGATTGCTGCATTTCTTTTTTATTCTCATTTCCTTTTTTCCTAAGTTTTGTCAATTTGATTGCTGCACCTTGAACCCTTCAAGAAGTAAGAAATGACAAAAATCAAATTCTGTCAGATTTATGGGGGTGATAGCCACGTATTACATCACAGTAATACTGTGTCATAGTAAAGTTTTTTTTAATCACGGTCATATTTAATTTTAAAATGAGTTTTGTCTGATAATCAGCTATTCTCAGTCTGATAGAACTGGAATGTTGACTATCATCTCATGTGGAAGTTGAAATAAGTTTTACCAAATATTCATTTCTGTATTTTGAAGTTAGAGCTAGCAGGGGCAGTTTGCAGACACCAGCTAATTGTAAAGGAAGTGATGTTTACCCTAATTGGGGGAAATAAAGTCATAAAAACTCAAAAGTAATCAGAAAATTTGAAGAAATTTGTTGGCTAGGCTGTTGTGAAATGTTTGTGATGAGCATAATAAACACAATGCATTAAAGGCAGTGTTAAGTGTGCAAAAAATTTGAGAATTTGGTATGATAAGTTAGAAAGATTTTTTCAATGTGCAAATGGTTCAAACTATGAAAAAGACTTTTATTTTGATAACATTAAAAAATTCCTTTATATATTCCTATATGTTCCTTCCAATCTGTACATGACAATTATTTATTCACTTAATCTGAACGTGAGTCTGATGCTAAATGGTACTTTGTATTGCATCTATTTAAAAGAGAGCATTAAGCATAAATTTGTTCTTTAGTATTTATTTTTGTAGGGGAAAGGTTGTTGTTTTGGCCTTGTTTTATTTTGTTCCTATTAAAGTAAAATGAAAATAAAAATTAGGAAACATAAATATGAAGAAGGAAAATGCAACTCAAACTTACTCCTCCATTAAAACAATCTTTTTGAAGTTAAATGGAAAATGTTGGTACATGGTGAAAGTGGAGACTGCTTTTTTATGATGGAATAAACACAGATCAACTAGGTTTAATCCTGATTTTACTAATGTCACTAAGTTAGTTAAACTCTGGAATTCAGTCTTCTTATCCGAAAAGTGAGGAATAAAAGCCTTTTACAGCTTTGTTAGGATCCAAAATAGTACAAATAAATAATATCAGTAAAGAATCAGAGGATAGTCCTGTTTATTTCCTTCACAGAAGCAAACAGCATTGTTTTGCTCTGTTTTTGGTCTTGTCTTTAAATATAATTCTTCAGATAATCTAACACTTTATAGTAAAGTATATTTCCGTATTTTCTCTAGAGTTATCTGTAATTCAACACAACTAATTTCAAAGTTATCCGTGTATGTTACTATTCTTTATAATTTATGAAAATCATTATTTCTAGATGTGTGGCAAAACTAATCATAAACTGATCTCTGGACGCATAAACATTAAGAATATAAATCCCTCAGCCTTGGGTGCAAAAATGCTCTGACTAGTTCAGCCGGTTCCACATACCTGCCACTCGGCAGAATTAAAATAAAACCATGATCCTCAGTCTGAAGGCAACAAACCCAGAATATTTAAAATAAAACCTGCTGGGATAATGCCTTATCCTTTAATGCTTCGATGTGGCTATCAAATAAAAATGGCATTGCTATGACATCACATCAGCGTAGTGAAGATGAATAAGATGTCTGTGATCATAAATAAGAAGGTGTAGATTAGGTGGGGAGAGGGGACTACTTAGAAAGAGTGAGTGAGCAAGTCTTCTCTGTGATGGTAAATTATTATGGAGAAGCAGCTATAAACCAGTGAGTATTTCCTGGCTTAAATTTTTTGAGTAAGAGAAGTATTTCTGTTTCTTTAGCAGAAAAAATTCCTTTTATATTCCTACAGAGGTAGCCCCTGCTTATATTTTTTCCTGAGTCTAATCATACGCTGCTATTTCATTCTAATGACTTGACTTAGCTAGATATAGCAGACTAACTGCATTATCGAAGACCAAAAAGATCTACACACACAAAAAAAGCTGTCTTACACCTTTCTCTCCAGACAGCCTCACAGATATTCGACAAAGAAAGCAAACATAACCTACAATACCATCCCCTCCGAAGGGCCACCTGCGGGGAAAAGCAATTAAGCCTGAGAGTTATGTCCTCTTTTAGAGGCAGCCTCTTTGATGATAAGTGCTGTAATCATACCTAAATAAATAGGTGAGAAAACTTGCCCCCTCCCAATAACTAGTTGTAATGAGCTCTACAATTAGTATATCAAAGGTGGCTGACCATCGGACACATGAGAATGGCTTATTAGAGAGAGGTTACAGCTAGTTCAGTCGAGCTTTTAAGAAAGTATATTTAAGTAATTGGAATAGAGTTGCTTTCCCAGTTTCTTTTATAGACCTTTTCCGTTTTTTTTTTGCTGAGGAAGATTCATCCTGAGCTGACATCTGTTGCCAAGCCTGCTCTTTTTGCTTGAGGAAGATTTGCTCTGAGCTGACATCTGTGCCAGTCTGCCTCTATTTTGCATGTGGGTCACTGCCATAGCATGGCCACCAGTGAGTGGTGTAGGTCTGTGCCAGGGAACCAAACCCAGGCCACTGAAGCAGAGAGCAGCAAACTTAACCACTAGGCCATGGGGCCAACCCCCAACACAGACCTTTTCTTAAAATGGAGACTTTTATGACAAATTAATTAGGGTTCTAACTAGTGTAGTTTAAGTAGAAGTACACAGAAGTAGGCCATCTTCATTGTATATTTATGCATTAAATGGCAGGAGTGTCTTCTATGTTAGGCACAATGGGGAGATTGCTATATGATTAAGACATGTGCCAATCCCTCAGGCCTCAACCTAGGTATATCTTTTGATCTTTATTGATCTTAAGATGAGAATCCAGGGGAGAAATCCAGTGAAAATATATGGAAAAGTCATAGTATTTTTGGCTAGATTAAAGAATAATGAATTACAAATAAGTCATGATAATGAAGATATAGTGCCTAAATGATTCTTATTTCAGAATTTTCAGAGTTAATCTATTTGTACCCTTTTAAAGAGTTAAATTGAAATATATGTAAGCATATGTGGTTTGGATGGATTGTACATGTCACAAGAGGACACTCATATGATGGGGGAAATATCCCTAGGCTAGAGCAAAACTTCTTTAATCATCAAACATCACTACCAGCTAATCTCTGGATGGTATAATTAAGGAGTCAGATGGCAAAAGGGTTACGTTTTAAATTCATATTTAGGATTTATTTTCTGCCTGTCTTTTTCTTTGATATGACTTAAGCCACTAATTTGAGACACT